GAGGTTGTCCGGCTCTTTATATACACACACCTAAACCTGAGCTTTGACCTTGGGCTGAACGTGAGTGTGTTTGTTTCAAAGTGTGTTCAATCAACGTGCCCCAGTTTGCGAGAATTGAGGCCAATAAGGAAGCACTGATAGAAACATTCTTCTGATAAATGACTGATAATAAAATATGTTCCAGCACTAATGATAACGAAGGATTCTGTCTGACATGATTCTGACTGACACACTTTCGTCCGCACGTACAATGCTATTAGAGAAAGACTTAATGATTAATGTTGTCCTGATTTGGTCTTATTTAGTTTATATTTCAGCGTTTAGGTTTCCATGTTTTAATTTCTCCTGTTTATCCTAGTGTTGCTTGTTTCCCTTGTGTTTTTGTCCTAATGTTTCATAGTTTAGTCTTTAGTGTTTCGTGTGTTATTTTGTAACTTTGTACCCTAGTGTTTCTTTATTTCGAGTGTGTTTTTGTTGCTTTCTTGAGTTCTCTGTGTATCTTAGTGTTTCTTGATTTATGTTGTAGTTCTAGTCTCCAGTGTTTCTTGTCTCGTGTTTATTTCTGCCTCTGTGTTTCCCAGTGTGATTGGCCTGATTGTCTTCACCTGTGTCTTGTTAGTCTCACCTGTGTCTGATTACCCTATGTCTATTTAGTCTCTGTGTTTCTTCCTCTCTGTGTCAGTTCATTGTTGTTTGTATGTCAGTTGTCAGAAGATGTCTGTTTTCCTTGTGGCTAGTTTTCTACTTTAGTAAGTTGTGTGTTTGCCTTTTTTTTTTGAGTAAATATATTTTTGTTAGATGTGCATCTGGGTCCTCCTCTTAGTTTTCTCAAACCTTGACAGAATGAACTGACCAAACAATAGACCCAGCAGATTTTTGTTTTGAGTCCTGAGTCGCCCTGGACAGGGACTCGTCTGGCCTTTTCCCCTGGTACCCGAGGAGGGAGGAGAACGGGTCAACGGGGCTCACCGTGATGTCTGGAGTCCATATCCTCAAGCTCACTGCCCACTCCTGTGTCTCTGTGGTAGGCCATGCCAACTCCAGTTTCCTCGTTGGAGGTCCTGCCCAGTTCTGTGTCTTCGTCAGAGGCCCTGGCCACTCCTGCTCCCTCGTCAGAGGTGACTCCTGTGCTCTCGTCGGAGGTCCTGCTGACTCCTGCGCCCTCGTCAGAGGTCCTGCTGACTCCTGTGCTCTCGTCCGAGGTCCTGCTGACTCCTGCGCCCTTGTCGAAGGTCCTGCTTTTGGCTCCTGCACCCTCGTTTGAGGTCCTGGCGACTCCTGCTACCTCGTCGGAGGTTCTGGTGACTCCATTGCCGTCGTCAGAGGATCTGCTGACTCCTGCGTCCTCGTCAGAGATCCTGCTGACTCTGCCCATTCCTGTGTCCTCGTTGGAGGCTAGAACGAAACCTCCTGGCCTCCCCCTGAACTAGTCTGCTCGTTCGGTCGGCCTCCTGGCCGTCCACCAGAGCTGTTCCCTGTGTTTGGTCCACCTGAACTTTCCGGGCGATGTGCCCTGCCTCCAGGCCGTCTGCCTGACGGTCTGTATGTCAGTTATCAGTGTCAGATGTCTGTTTTCCTCGTGCTCTAGTGTTACTTGTGGTTTCCTCGTGGCTAGTTTTCTACTTTAAAAAATTGTGTGTTTGCCTTTGGCCTATTTGTTTAAATAAATATTTTTTGTTAGATCTGCATCTGGGTCCTCCCCTTAATTTTTCTCAAACCTTGACAAATGTGTCATTATTAAATACTCTGCAAAAACTGAAAGCTCAGCAAGTTTATTTGTCAAAGTTTAAAGGTCCCATATTATGCTTTTTCTGGTTTTATACGCCCTTTAGTGTGTTTTCCAAGTGTCCTGTGCATGTAAAAATTCAAAGTCTGCGGAAACATGGCTTTTCCTACCTCCTCCTGTTAGCTGTAGCATTAACTGCACGTAACGCTCGGTTCCAGCGCCCCTCGAAATAAATTTGTCAGTGTGAGATCACTGATCTAAGTCCATTGGCTTGTTGTGGCAATCCCTGCAGCTCATGTTGAAATTTCCGAGACGCGTCCTGAGCAACTGACCAATAACGACAGAGTGGATCGGCAGACTTGGCCCACGTGGGGGCTCAGCAGAGCGTAGCTGACGGACTCGGAGTGTAGCGGGAGCAAGGAGGTGCAGTACATGAAAACAGACCCTTTTTTTCGGCTGTTGTGAACGTATAAAAGTAGGGCCAACAACACGAATTATTCTCATTTTGAGTTCAAAATATCTTTGACACTAAATAAAAAACCACACTTGCCTAACAAGTCCAGATAAACATCTTATGTTGAGATATATATTACAAGTTAAAAATTAAGACCTGCATTTGGTTTAAAAAAAAATTCAAATGCAGCAAGTGACATTGAAGTTTCAAGATGTGAGATGAATATTTTTTTGGGACGTTTTTAATGATTCACACTTTCAGTTTTTGCAATTGTTGTTCACTGTTCGCGGGGAACAGTTAAGTGTCAACCAGATATCATCATGCGTTATATTTATGTCAAAAACCCAGAGATTGATAAACTAAAACTGTGAGCGTATTTTATTATTACCTGTATTTCCACTGCGGCACTAAGCTTACACGTCTTTGTGTAATCGACAGAGCTCCATTAGCCCTGCAGCGAGCTCTAGGCAACCCTGACAGAACCCCTTCTCGCGTGAAGTTGTTAAAGTGACCAATCATAAATGGGCCATTTTCATCCAAGGTCTCCGACCCCCAATGTGTCTAATATCAGTTTGATTCGAGTGAGCAGTTTTCAACTTCGAGAGCAGAGCTGCTCCACATGAGTGTATTTTTCCTTAAATGTGCGGGTGCCATTCTTTGTCCCGCCCCCCTGATGTGTTTCATGCTTGCAGTTGCTGGAAAAGCTCTCGGGTTGGTGAATGTGAGCGCAAAACGTATAATTTACAAATGGTAGTAAATTTGTGCATTAGAGAAATAACAGAATTTGCTTGTGATTTCAAAAGCTTGTGTTTACAGTTTATTATTTAAGGAAATCTAGCGCCATAGTGTTGGGCCTGAACACTTTAACTTAGTGCAAACTATTTTTGGTGAACGAGAGCTAAGCTTTAGTTCACTCTGGAGACAAAGAACAACCGCTCACGTTCAGAGGTGCGAAGAGTCGCCGAGCTCTTCATGTCAATGTCTGATATCGAGCACCAGGCACATGTCCAACAAGCTCACATGCATACGTAGAGTTAAAGTAGAAGCCTGATCTGTTTCTTCCAATGATGACACTAACCGCTTTTTCAAACAGTGTTTGTATTCTGATTTTTTGTTGGAAACATTTATTGATTTCATGAAGTTACTTTGGAAAACTTGTTAGCTTTTTCTTGGGTCCCTGCAAAACATTTTAAACTAAGTTAGTCATAAATCAAAAGGCTGTAGGTTGGGTATGTTTAACTAGTTCATTTTAATCTCTGTGAACTGAACTTTGAGCGAGCTCTTACAAAGGGTGATCTTTCACAACACTGATTATCACAGCAATAATGAAATTAGCTTTCATGCCTTTAAAACATGTTTAAATCTGCACGTGAGGAGTGAGAGGTGTGGTGGCACATTTACTGGCATTTAGCGTTTTCAGCACTGTATTATGAGAGGAAGGCGAAAGGTTCAAGGACATATTGGCTTATGGACAAGTTGGAAAAATACAGGAAAATGGTTGGCAGGAACAACCAACGATTATGGGGCTACTTTTATGATATGAAAAAAAATAATGTTTTAAACGATGGGAATCAAAGCAGTTGAGTCTCACATGAAATCCAGGAATTATTTTTCTTTGTTGGAGTTTTCAACTGGTCTTAAAAAGTGTTCAATTTCATTTTTTTAATTGTGAAGCAGCTCTGTTATTGTAAATCACTGACCCATGAGTCAGGTCACACCAATCAATCAATCTTTTTGGATAGCGCCAATTCATAACAAATGTAATCTCGAGACACTTTACAAAAACAGCATGTAGTCTTTGTTATATTATATTAGTAGTAACATTATCATATTATTAATTACAAACATGAGTGAGGACCCGTGAGTGTAGAGGATTCATTAGCGGGTAGGAGTAGGGTGACTACAATGTTGGGGTTAGTTTTAGTTATTTTTTAGTTATTTTAGGTACCTTTTTATGCTTTTATTTTCCTTTTACGCTAACCGGCTGGGATATATAATCCCTCTAGCTCGTAGAGCTACGACAGTGGATAGAGTCGGAAATCAGGGAGACAGAAAGTGGGGAATGACATGCGGGAAAGGAGCCACAGGTCGGATTTGAACCTTGGTTGCCGCTTGGAGGACCACAGCCTCCATTCACGGGCGCGCGCACCAATCACTGCCTGCGCCACCGCGCCAACAGTGCCCCCTTTAGAAATTATATTGTCAGTAATTCAAGGGGAAATATTATTCAATGAGATGAGCTAATAATCTTCATCTTTCATTGTATAAAACATCCCTCAAACAATTATCGGGAGTCATCTCATGGGATAAATATGTTACTTAAATTATTATCCATGTCATTAAGTGTGTACAACAAAAGACTTAGAAACTCTTTGATTACAAAGTCATAAATAGGAACCGTAACCATCTCTATAAGAAAATGGAAATTATTTATTGTTGGCAATGTTTTTGCTTGTTTCTATTTTTTTACCCCTTGTTTTTTGCTATTTTATACTTAATCCGTAATAGCTCACAGAAGTGCAATACCTGACTGGACATTTCTACATATGTCTACATATTCTCTGATAAAATATTTTCTCTTAATTTCTTAATTGTATTGTATTATGGTACTGGATTGATGTCCTCAGTCCACAGATTTTCCATGGGTGTTAAGGTCCCTACGTATGAACACACACTCATTATAGATCCTGTTCTATAAACACACCTACTTATAACTTGTTTAGCTTTTTCATATTTACTCAATAATTTCCTGAGTAATAATTTCCATTACATTGTCTACAACAATTGCCAATAATATAACAAATCATAGTTTAGATAATATAAAAAGTTACCCCCCACCTTTTTTTATTTATTTTATTTGCATAATACAAGTCATATCTATGTGAGCTTCATCCATATCTCCAACCTTTAATTATGTTTCTGTTACTGTATTATAGGAGTCACATATTATGCTAAAAACACTTAACCTTGTTTTTCTAACACTAACATGTGTTTCTAGTTCGTCTACAAACCCCCCAGTAATGAGAAAAGTCCATCTTCTCGATCTTTTGCCTGCTCGACTTTTCAGAAAATGTGTGCTCAAACAGGTTGTTTGGAGATTTTCCTTTCATGACATGTATTTAACATTAAATGATTTGATGACACATTGAAGACTTTTTACTTTTTCTTTTACCTTGTTGTTCTTAAAATAGATCTCATTAACATTATGTGTGAACTGCGCTGAAAACAAGAGCTCTGTAGATTCATTTACTTCATAAAGTGATGAACACTGATTCATTTCTTCTTCCTCTCGTCTGTCTGTAGGAATGTGAGTGTAAGGCATGTCTGGAATGCCGCCGTCCCTCACAGGAAGCTCATGACCGTCCCCTTCTTGCCGACCTGGTGAGGCTGCAGAGCGTGGAACACAATCACGATCCTGTCAATCAAAACAGAGCTGTCAATCATTCCGCTTTGTACAGATTCTTTGTGCTATATTATGTCGAAGAACTGTAGCGACTGAACGTCCCCTCAGCGATTAATGAAGTATTCATTCACAGCTGTCAATCATTCACAGTGTGCATCCATTCAAAGATTACAGAAACAAAGACTGTTCAGGGTTCAAGTTCAGAGCTCTTAGTTTGAGATATGATTCATCACAGATAACCGACCAATCAGAGAGCAGCACTGAGTCTGTGCCGTTAGTGTGTTAATGCATGTATTAGTTTAACTTAGAGAGGCATTGTGAGTGTGAAGATTACGGTTGTCACAAAACCAGATTTTAAAACTTTGATTAGATTCTTGTAATAATCAAAATAAAAACCATAATAATACCTGTTTGTTACCATGGCAACAAAAATAAAAGTCCTAGACACCTATTATTGGGTTGGCTGCAAACTGTCTAAACTGAATAAATATATTGGTAACATTTTGGTATCAAGTAAGGTAAGGGGAAAGAGGAGGAGGATAAGAAAAGAGGTTAGGAAGTGGAAGAGGAGGAAGAAATCTACAGAAAGCTGAGGAGGAGAAGAGGACAGAGGAGGAAAAAAAAAGAAGAAGGCAGAGAAGGAGGAGGTTGAGAAATAGATGAAAAGGAGGAAGTATAGAAGAAGAAGGATGTATTTGTGTTGTGAATGATAAACGATGCATGTAAGATCTTTTAGTTTTGTTAAATCCTCCCCTCATATGTGGGCGGAGCCCGATAGATTAAATGTCAAAACAGAAGTATTAGCTGTTTTTAAATATACTTTCTAATATTTATCCCTCATTTTCTCTCAGATTTAGTGGACTCTTAATGAGACTGTAAACTTCAATATCATAAGTTTGTTTCTATTAATCAAACACACATTTCCGGAGGCTTTAAGGCTGCAGAGTTAGAAGTAGAGTGTAGCGGCGACCTGCTGACAGCTCACCTGTCCTCGGTCAGTTCGAGTTCTCTGGTCAGGAACTCAAAGATCTTGGCGCTGTGCTCCTTGTTCTTGTCAGCTGTGTCAGTCACACCGATCGCAGACACCGACAGCATCACACACGGAGAGGAGGAGCCGGAGATCAGCATGGGACAGCCGGGCTGCACGACCACGTTCATCCTCTAAAACACAACCAAACCCAGTGAGCAGCTGTTTTTAGACAAATATATAAATATAGATAGAATCATAAAAAATGACATTAACTCTGACATTGTCCAGATATGATGAGGGATCTTTATTATAGACTTTCTCAGAATGAAAATAACAAACTTCAGCAAAGCGTTTAAATGTGTGCAGGAGTTTGTAATTTTAAATAGATGAATTCCTCGTCTACACGCCTACTTTTATTTTAGTCATTTACTGAGCAAAGTATCTCAAATATCTGCTGCTTTCAGCTTGTTAAACATCTGGATTCCTGCTCTTGTTAATATGTAACATTTTGAAGCAACAAAGCATGGTATCTGTGATTTGATAACAATAATAACAATTAAAAAAAAAAAACATTTGGTTAATCTTTTTTATCATGGTTTTAACAATATCCTTATCTCTGGTAATACATTTTACTCATTACAAACTTACACATGATCATTTCTGCAGTGTATTCCAAGAGATAAGACAAAAACAAAGTAATGTAAAAAAATGTATATAAGCTTGAAAAATTGCTTCTGCTTCACTTTCAGCCAATCAGAGACCAGAGTTCGTGGGGCAGCAGGGAAAGGACCAATCAGCATGCAGAGATTGAAACAATCAGTCAGAGTGATTTGAGTCTGTTTCTAATAGAATATTTCATGAATATAAATCTCTCCCGCTGCAAATAGGACTAAAAAAAACAGCTATGACATTGAACCGCGCAGGCGCAGCGCAGATGTACTTACGTCATCAGGTTTCCCCAAAGCGGCGGCGGCGCACGCGCTGAATTTCTTAACGAAATCCTCCGAGAACGAGCCCGCAAGTAAGTTCGTCCGCAGCTCAAGGAAAGGCATGTTAACGGGAGGACAGGACACCGTAAGTAGACTACCGACCGGAGACACTCTGTACCGACAGGAGAGAGGAACGGGGGAACGGGACAACGAGAGACGACTACCGGTTCTGACTGTCAAAATAAGAGCGGAGCGTTAGACTAAGGCTTCTGGCACACAGACTGTTCGGATATAAATGTAAAACAAATGTAATACAAAAAATCAAAGAGACCCTTTTTGTTGCTATAGAAACTGAATTTGTTGGTATTAGTAATTTAATTCGTTAAGCATTCGTAAATGCTAGAACAGTTATTTTTGTAAGTAGTAAATTGTCTATCCACTAAAAACCTGAAGTAATAATTTTCAATTAATTATTGCAAAATTGCATACAATATGAATCTGATATTTTGTGCTGTTTAATTAAAAATAAAATAAATGTGTGCAGAAGGTGGTGTTTGATTTGTTTTCTGTTCCAAGCATATTTTTTTTGCACAAACCCAAATTCTGTAGAAAAAGAACCACACTGTCCAAAGCAAACATATACGACGGAGGATTAGGGCCATGTGAATTATTTGTATTTATTTTTTTAATTTCGAGAATAAACTCGTAAATTTACGAGAATAAACTCGTAAATTTACGAGAATAAAGAGAAATAAAGACTTAATTCTCATACATTTACGACTTTAATCTCGAAATTTAAAAAAATGTATATATATATATTTTTAATGCTCTGTTTATTTTCTCTCTATGCTTTATAAACTTTAGCTTGGTTATTATCATAGACTGTAAATATTACTGGTTATTATAGACTTTAGTTTTAGCTTTTTTTTAAACTTAGATTTACTATATTTGACACTTTGATAATGTTAAGCTACATTTTTGGATGTGCATATTTATATTTTTATGTCTGGAAGAGCTTATTCCCTGGATATTTATTCTTCTGTTGCTTTATTTACTTTAATAACCTGCTGCTGTAAAACCGCAAGTTTCCAGTTCTGGATAAATAAAGGCGCCTCCAATTATATATCTATGTATCTCACTTTTTTATTCTGAAGGCAGAACCGGACAGCTCGGCCTCAGTAGGTTCAGTCTATGGTCCGGACTTTGTGTGTTTTAAGCTGCAGCGCCTCCTGTTGGTTCACTTCAGTCATTACATGATGATGTTTGAAAACACATTTTAATATGAAGGGTAGTTTGACGCTAAAACGTGACGTCAGAGAGATAAAGAAAACACATGAGAAAACACCATGTGCAGACAGACCGTGCTCCCTGTGACAGTGAAGGATGATACTATTGTGCTTGTTGATAAGAGGCCCACAGGCCGCTTACTCACACCTTCACCTTAAATAATACTCAGGCTGGAAATCTGTGCTTCTCAGTAAAACCTCAAAAAGTAAACAGAAAACCAGAGGACTCTTCCAAAGGGACATTGTAGCAATAACTTCTGCAACTCCACTTTGGAATAGTGTTGTAGATAATGATCATTGGGGCAAAGTCTGGTCCCAATAAATACCTTCTTACCGCAGATTCACAGATTTTACCCAGCTAACTCATTTCTTCAGAGACATAAATAGGACATCAAATCAAACTGCTTTTTCTGTCAAGGGCGTGTCCTTAGCGTGGGGAGGGGTGGCATTGCCCCCCCTTGAATTCTGATTGGCCACCCCAAAATCAGAGACAATGATAAGCTATTGGCTTTGTCAGAGACTTGACTTACCCTGCATTTGTGTGGGGTCGGACACATCGGAAAAATTATTTTCCGAGGTGAAAAATGCAAATTCTTCCTCAAATATAACTTGTATACACACTGTTAGAACATTCAAACTTTCCAAACTGAAAGCACATGAACACACTGAAGTCTGGAGAACGACTTCCTAACTGTGAAACAAGGAGGATGAGTGCATGAGCGCAGCATTATCCTAATCAACTATTCTGGCTTCTTGCAGCAGGCTGCTAGTAGTTCTCAATGTAGCACATTTTATTTCATCAGTCCTTTAAATTGTAGAACAACACTATTCTCATTTAAGACATTAGACAGGTGTATACACTGTAAGAGACGAATGAGTCCAGCAAAAACTGCTAGCACACGGTCTAACTCTCAAATAGGGAACAGAGCCTATGTAAGAGTTGCCAACAGCTTACGTAGAGGCATAAAGCCTTCTCATTAAATTATTTTTTTCATATCAGGGAACTGTCGGATACTTTGCAGAACAAGCCGTTTAACACACTCTGCAAACTTATCCTTTACCTCATGAGCTGAAGCTTTGCCCATGTTCCTCCATCTCGGCAATGTTTTGTTGTTTATTTGTTTTTATTATTGTACTATTTATAAAATTACTCATATTGTCTGTATATATTGTTTGTAGTGAGGTACAGTACATGCTTCATCTGTACTCCTGTGTCCAATCACAAATAAAAAGGCAGACTGAGCATGCTCATTAACCCTTTATTAAAGTTCATCACTGTACATTAACAAAAACATTTCACACACGTCACAGTCATCAAAGAGAAGGGACCAATCACAGCCTGAGGTACAGTGTTCTTACATATTCAGTCTACATCATGTTTACACTCGGTTTTATTATTGAAATATAAGATGTATTATTAATAATAATCCATCTTTTAAGTTATATCATTATTAAAAACATGTCCGTCCAGATGTCCATTCTTCAAACCAGTGATGACACACCTGCAGAAACACACAAACAACATTTTTTTTTTTATTCTGATTACCCTCCTCCTGTTAGAACACATTTTAAATCATATTTTTAATGATAATGTTCAGACAGTCATGGCTGACAGACTGGATGTGCCTTCGTCTCTCTAAAAACTCCTCAATAACGTTTATAAATATTCAGACCGTAACATGTTTGGTAATCTTCTTGTTTGTGTTCTGGTCTTCACTCTCATGGTGTGTTAAGAAGTGAAGCTGCAAGTAACTTACGAGTTAGACACTGAATGTAGTCAGTGAAGTACATGAAGTTTACATAAAGAACTTATTAGAACTTATTTTCTTCTTTGAAAGCCTGTTTGTTGTCATCACTTTTTTCTTTCTGTCCACTGCTTTGCATTATTGTGCATGATGACATAAGCACAGTATTGATCTTTATTATGTAATTAAAGTGGTTATCGTGGGAAAAAAATGTGTTTATAGTGCAATAAAAATATTTCTTCAAGGGCCCGACCGATATGAGATTTTTGGGGCTGATACAGATATCAATATGGGGGAGAAAAAAGATCAGATACCGATATATCGGCCGGAATCTTTCTTAGAGCTATCTTTGATTTGCAGAGACGGATGGATTTAGATAAACTCATTTATTGTGTTGATCCCTCAAATGCAGTTATTAAACACTTGTCGTACAGATATACAGTATGACGTAGACAAGAGGGTCACTCATCTGGAAAGTAGCATATACGTGCATCACCGCTTGACATTGTGATATTGAGTTGTTGTTATCCATATGGCACATTCTGCTGGTGACCGCCAGAAAAAGAACTGATAGTGTAATACAATGACACACAAATGAAATGCTGTATGACTGGAAGATAAATCTAGTAATGTGACTATCTGGGATAAAAATTGCAGAGACCGATAGTTAATGGATAGGCTAATATGTCTCCAATGTCTCCTTCTGCCCACTAGATGGTGCCAAGACATTTTTTAAAACTAAGATGGAGATGTTTTACTCTTACTTCAATGAATGATGGATCTGCATGACTCTGTTCTAGTTATCAGAGTATCAGAGTCTCCTTATGTTTATATCCGGCTGAGATGTATACTATAAATTAACAGCAGGTTTTTATTACACATTAAAGTGATTCAAAGTGAGATTCACTGACTGAAAACTTGTGTCATTTTGTTCCTTTAGTGACATAACCTGCTGTTGGAAAAAGGTTAAATCAATTGCGATTGATTTCATCAGAGTTGTAAACATTTAAAACATTTAAAACTGCATTATTATGATATAGTGACTGAAGTATTCTGATGTTTTGGTCAGGACTGTGGAGGTAATCTATAATTAAGTGAAGCAGCATCACTATCAGCAGACTGTGGCAGGTGTAGTTTGATAATTTGACTGTAATCGTGTTTTAACAGTGCAGTATAAATCCTGTTTGATAAATCCACCCCATCCTCCTGCTGCTGTGATCTGTCACCCTGTCTTTCACACTCACCGTGGGAGAACTTGCACTGTTTAAGCGCCTCGCTGAATCCCTCACAAAGACTCAGGTCGCTCTGGTTGGTGGCGCAATCGAGGAACTGTTTGACCTCAAAGTGACAGGGGCCTTGCTGGGCCTGGGGGGGCCGGGGGGGCTCCTGCAGAGGAAACACAGCTGCTGTGACTCTCAGTGTGTATCAAATGTTCCCACTGAGCCACTATCAGAGAGGTCAAGGATGCAGATAAAAACTGAATGTCCAGGACTAAATATGTTTCTGTTTCCCGCAGCATGAAACTCCTGAACAGTGTTTTCTGACAGAAAGTTAAAGCAGTAAAAATATTCTAAATATAGCATATACTTTAACTGATACAATATACAAAAACAGACAATAAACCAAACCTCGCCTACAGAGCTTCCTGCTCAGCTTGTGCTAAAGTTTCTCCATACAGGAGTCAGGCTGCTGTTATTCACTGCAGCTATTCAGGCTGTTAAAATACCAGAGTTATAAAAGTTGATATGATTCTAGTAAAACTCAAACATATCAAGACCTGTTTGTTACTAGGCAACAAAAATCCCATCCAACAAAAGTCCTAGACACCTAATATGGTATGTTTTTAATTATCAGGCCAACTCCTGCACAAAAATGTTGCCAACGTTTTGGTACAATAGATCCTCTTCCCTCTTCATCCTCCTTCCTGCTTCCCTGTCTTTTTCCAATTTCTCTTTACCTCCTCCTCCAAACCCACCTCTTCCTCGATCTTTTATTTTTTCCTTCTCCTCCTAATTCTCTTTCACTCCTTCTTGTCCTTCTTCTCCCTCCTCCTATTTCTCTCTCTTTCTCCTCCTCCTTCTCGTCAACCTTCTCCATGCTTCCTCCCTCTAACCTTCCTTCTCCTCTTTCTCACCAACTTCTTCCCTGCCTTCTCCTTCTCCTAAACTTCCTCCCTGACTCCATCTTCTCCTCTTTCTCCGGCTCCCTCTCTCACCTGATATGCAGGTTTGGCTGGCTCTGGGGTGCTGCTGCTGCTGCTGCTCCCCCCACTGAATGCTCCGGTGAGTGCGCTGCCGACCACGTGACCCACAGCTGAGCCAACCGCCACCCCCGCCGCTGTAGTCGCCATCTGAGCCATGAGCCCGGGGCCCTGGGATGGGGACGGGGCTGGGGCCAGAGCGGCCGGTGGAGGGTGAGCGGGTGCCGGAGCGTAGGACGGGGGCGGGCTACACGAGGAGAAAAAAAGTGAATTGATGTATTTATTAGAGAGGCTAAAAGGGTCACTACACTAAAA